GATTATATATATATATATTGCATTGAACATTATTAACTACGAAGACATTTTTACCTGCAGTAAAAAACCATTTTTAATTCATTTTTCTACTTTCACCCTCGTTTTTGAAGTAACTTAAAAAAAAAAAAAACTTCCACAAATAATTATTTTATCGAAAAGATTTCCTTAAATGTAGTTGCATGCATTTCAAAAGACTGTCATGTAAAATTATAAAAAAGAATTAATGAAACTGTTAAAGTGTTGAGCCTAACTGTTTCCAATAAAAATTAATTTCAATAATATCAAATAATTAAAATTCACCAAATTTAAAAAAAATAATTGACCTTATTATTATAAGTGATATTTACACAGTAAAAAAAAAGTAATAGTGTTTCCTCAACCAATTCTAAGGCCTATAAGCTCATTAAAAAATATACAGTGCACTAAATAATAAATGAAACATTATTTAAGATTTGATTTTCAATTATTAAAATGTGATATTAATATTTGAAGAAAAACATCTGAAATATAAAGTTAGTTTGAGTTGTCGATATTTTATAACGAAATCAAACACAAAGAACGTCTTTCATTGAAAGCATCTTTCATTATTTTTTTTATCATTGTTAAATTTTATTAATATTAGTTTTTATTAATATTAGTTTTTATTATTGTTAATTTGTATAATTATTTTCAACCTTCATAAAGTAGTTGCAATTACTATTTGTCTCTCTAAAATTATTAAAATTGAACACTTTGAATGTAATTATTAAAGCTCAATTTGGCAAAAATTATTCCTGCAAAGAAACCCCTTTCAAAAATTGACTTTATAATTTTACTAAAAAAGAATCAATAAATCAATGGTGAAAAACGATATAAAATCGAGCAAAAAACAAAACTGAAAGACAAATATCGATACAAATAATAAACCTAAAAAATTACCAATGTTTTTATCCATTATTATAAGAACTGAATTTGCAAATGGTAACAATGTAAATTGACAAAGAAGTTTTCAGAAAATTTATTAATTAACCTACAAATAATTCAATGATTATTTGTAGGTTAATTAATAATATTTTTATCATTAAAAATTAGGTTAATTTATTAATTAACCTACAAATAATTCAATGATTATTTGTAGGTTAATTGTAATTTAACCTACAAATAATTCAATGATTTTAAATAGAATTTAATTTCTTTAGTTGGGTATCCATTGTTTTTTAGTAATTTGTAGAGTTGGTATTTATTAGTTTTATTGGATAAATAAACATTACTGCATATTCTTTTAATTCTATTCATTGGATTAAAAATGGTATTTAAATAAATGTTTTTAGAAAGATGAGAATTCCAAGTATTCAGTTTATTTATATTAAAATCATTTCTTTTATCGTATAAATCAACAAAGCAGGCATTTTCTTCTTTTGTAATACCCAAATACGAAAAATTTAAATTAATATTATCATGATTACGAAGCAAGATTAAATCCTCGAGGGAAATATTATTTAATACAATTGTATAATCTTGAAAATTGAAGATAATTAAATCATCAATAAATCTAAAAACAATTTTAATATTAAGAGTTTAATTATTTTCATAATAGTGCAAAAATAAGTTATCTAAGAGAGATGAAAAATTAAATCCTTGTGGTATTCCATCAATTTGAATAAAAATATCATTTTATCGCAAAGCTAATTACTAAAAGGACGAAAATTAGTTAAAATTTCTCAACAATCAAAATCGCAATTAAGGATATTTTTAAAATCATAGTAATAAATCAAAAGAACATCATTTAGTTTAGAAAGGGGAAGGCTATTGAAAAGATCCTGGAAATCAATAGAATTAATTTTATTTTGTTCTAAATCGGTTGATTATTGATAATCCAATAAAAACCTTCATTAATTATATTGTTAATAATTTAATTTAAGTAGTTCCAGAAAATGATGCCATGTTCGTTAAATATTAGAGCCATATGTGATTGTTCTAAATTTTAGAGGAATTTTATGAAATTTTGGACTGTTAATTAAGTAATGAAATTGCATATTGCTAATTTTAATTTTTAAACTCTTATATGAATCTAAACATTTTTAATGATAATGTTATAATTTAAATTACTAAGCTTAAAATTTTTACTATTTTTTAATTCCGCATTTAAAAGTTCGATATTTTAACAGAAGATTGCATAATTATTGTTAGCTTTGTCTATGGGGGTAATAGCAAAAAAATTTTGTAATTGATCGAAGAATTTTAGAAAAATTTGTTGAACTGTTATTTAATTTTCCTTATTATTGAAAGCAAATTTCTTAAAGTAACAGTAAACAACCCATTTCTATTCTATTGACTTACCTAAAAGTAGAGTGCCTGTATTGAAAAGAGTGATGACAATATCCTAGAGCGCATGCGCTGCCGTCATATTTTTGTCCAAGGGGGTTGCCAGATGATACACCGAAGTTGGCGCCACTCACTCATTTGGTGTTATTCTGAAGATTCTGTCATTCTAAGAGTATATACTAAAGTATCAATAATATAAACTTTAAGATTTGAAAGCACATGATATTACAGATTTTTTAAGAAACATTTTCCATCATCTGAAATTGTTAAAAAATAAATGTCAATTAAAAAAAAAAGACTTATGAAAAGACTTCAGCTTTTAATAAATGCCTTAAATTAAATATAAAAATTAATAATGATTATGCCATTTATTTCAGAAATAATAATTAATAATACAAATTATATAATTTATTATTATTTATTACTTTTTCAGGAAAAAATTATCGCATATTCACCTGAAAAGGTATTGTTTATTTCAACAAATTGTAAACAAAAATTTCCATAATTAGTTGAAATTTAAAACAAACTAGCATTTTATACAGTTGGTAACGAAAAGTAAACAAATGCTACTTTGTAACGCGCATTGTAACGTGACCATTGTAACGCGCCAACATGTCAAAGTAATATGGCCAAACTATGCACTTCTGAAGTTTTGATAAAAAGATGCTCAAATCTTAAAATTTATAAGTAATTTAGATAGAAATTATGTGTATTAAAAGTAAATACATTTATTCTTATCTAACCATTAGTTATTTAATCACCTTGTTCTCTTAATGAGATAAACATAACTTTATATGCACGCAAGTAAGAGATAATAAGGATAAATTCGAATAACTAACAACTATCCAAATTTTCACCCATAATTTTAACATTTACTGTAATTGTGATGTTTCTTGTTGAAAAAAAGTAAGTAATGAACTCATTACATGCATTTATTAATACAGAACATAAATTTTTTGAATCAGATAATTTTCACTCCGTGTAATTCCAATGGCGAATTTTCCACTCTCGCCTCCGGCGGTAAAGTTTTTCTTTCCACCAATCAGGAATCGTTTCTCCCTTGTCCACACTCTTTTACTCTAGGCACTCTACCTAAAAGTAAAGAGAATTTACTTGATATCTTTAAACAAATATTATTTAGAAAATTAAGAAAGTATTTTAGAAATTTTTTAATTGATATATGGTAAATGGGTCCAAATTTTGCTCCTTTTATCAATGAATTCCTCAGTTCTAGGTTATTATAACATTTGAGTCAACAGCAGTATGTCTATGATGTTTATCAAAAAATCCAAATATTTCTCTTCTTAACAGTGACCTTCATTATTAATTTTTCCTAAATTTTTGCTTATATCATTGTTATTGAACATAGTTCTTAACAAGAGATTTATTTTATTTCAAGCTTTCATTCATGATAAAATCTTTTAATGGAATTTTTTTTTTAATTTTCAAAAATATTACGAATTTTAATATTATTGAAAATAGGATTATAAAGTTAATAACGAAATATAAATTATCAAAATTGTTCTTTTTATTTGGGGAAATTTTACGCATTTTAGCCTTTACAAGATTGAATCAAAGAATTTCGAAATGTAAATAATTAATGAAAGAAAAGTTAATAATAAGGGAGAAAACAAAATTTTTCATTGGTTTCATTTTTTATTGTATATTAAAATCTTTTTCTGTATTTGAAATTTTTTTTTTATTTAATTTGTGACTATTAAGAGAGTTTTTATTACTTCCTTATCCCCGTTTACCTCAATTTGTACGCTTATCTTTAATACGAAAAAATGAGTAAGTTGAGGAATTAAAGTTAATTTGCGTATGTTGGAACGTGCGGCAAAATTGTTCTTTATAAAAGCAGGTAGTAATTTTCTTTTTGTAATCTTAAATCTAAATCTTCTACAATATCTAAAATATTAATTTTAACACTGAAAAATTATGTTCTCTAAAATGATTCAATTCCAGGTTATTGATAATTTTATGACAGTTTATATCAGAACGGTGTTGATTAATTCAAATATTAAAGGAGCTACTGGTTTTCCAACATATTTCAAATTGAAAAAACCACAGGTTAGCATATAAGTAACATTTTTAATTTAGAAACAGATTTGGAGCTATCGTTATTGTGAATTATATGCTGTTGTTGTTTTTTTTTTCTGTTGTTTTTTTCAATATTAAGGCAAGTTTTGCATCTTTTATCACCGCACGCTTTATAAGTCGGAAAAAATTCTGGAATTTGTTGCGGATATAATCGTGAGAGCTGATGAAGAGATTTTATCTTTTCATTTATTTTTGTTTTCCGGTTGTTTAGTCTATATATTTATAATTTTTTTTAAAAATATTTTGTTTTAATAATGTTTATTCTTCTCTTTTCATTAATCTTTATTATTTTCAATTTTTCCTCCCTATTTTTAACTTATTTTTTGAATTCTAGATACTTGCAGTTTATGAGTAAATAAAACTTATGCGCAAATAATAAAATTTATATGAGTTGAGAAAATCTCAAAAATATTGATGAGAAAGTGAAAAATAAGCCACCTCATTGGTCATGGAAAGGCACATTATGACAGTTTTTAGGTGCGATCCGTTATAAATATTTTTATTTAAATTCTATTTCATCCGCAGGTGTATCATTCATAAAAAAATATACAATATTAAGTAATATGTATTCCACTGAATCCTAGGAATTAATATACATATATATTGATTGATTGCCCCATTCAATCAATAAACCTTCGCCTTCCTCCCTTCATTTACATGTTCATACTTTTAACCGAAATAATAATAATAATTTAATTCCAATTCCAGTGAACAAAGTATTTAAAAAAGGTAATTATTTTCAAAAGTCAATTATTTAAAAATTTCTAAATATAATAAAAAAAAACTGAGAAGAGACATAATGTGTTTTCAGTCCTGATGACGGTTGCTGTGAAAGGAAGACAACAAAATGGTGAATGGATAAGTGGTCAGAATGAAAAGAAGAAACAATGACAGCAACAAAAAAAAAACAATCATTACAATAATAATAAAAGAAAAAAACGATGCTGCCTGCCATTCCCAATAGAGCGGTCACGCCGGAGGGTAAACAGGCGATAATAGCACATCATGTGGTGCATGATAATAACTACCCTCTCTCCTTCACCCTGCTCTTTTTGGAATTTTTTCCACTTTCTTCGATGGCTACCTGCTCCGGAGGCAAAGAAGAAGAAAAAAGAGAAGCAGATGAACTCTTTCAGATGAATGTACGCGGACGAAGCAGCATCAGAGCTGTTGTTGAACCTTTGGATGCTGGAAGTACCCTTTCAGGTTTATGTTCTGAGAGTGAAATTTTGGATCAGTGAGGATGCTTTACTTTCATAAGAATCACAAAATCAACTCAATCAGGTAAATTCATTCTGATGATTGTTTATTAAAATCTTAAATAACTCTTTATATAAAACACACCCTACCTATTACATGTTTCGTATTGTTCATTGTATTAGATCAGAATTATATGAAACTAGTAGATGATGGAGTACCCATAATGAGTTTTTTTAATGTGGTGTTTTTACATTACATGTAAAAATGTTTTCAATGAAGTAGGATGACTGCATTGATGAAGGGGTTCCCTTTTTATATCTACTGCACATTTAAAGTATGATTTTTTTTTTTTGGTGGGTTTAACTGATGAGTGTTCATTAGCTTCACTTATTTTACTCAAAGTTCTGTCCACTCTATCCTGGGAGTGAAGCTCGGGTATTTCTGTGGTGTCAGAACGAAATCTATAAGGCGAATAGCGATTTCGAATGAACTTACATGTATCGGAATCTTACATCAAAGGATTTAAAATATTTTCGTAATAAGATTGTCAGATTACAAAATGTGAAAACAGAAGCGGAGTTAAAAGCGTAATTAGAATGATTTTGTTTTATGGCGCGTTTTTAATGCAGTACTGAAGAGTGTGTCAGTTACTAAGGACTGGTCCGAAAATTTGTGTGCGTAAGGGAATAATATTATAATTTAAAGAAGTTTATAATGAATAAAGTTAATATTTAATTATATAATTTTTAAAAAAAGAGAGAAGGAAAAAACTGTCCGTTTTGCATAAATTTTTAGCCACGGATTTGCCTGAATTGGATTTGCAAATTGTACATTAACAAAGAAGATTTTAGTAAACTAGAGGGCTCCGCCCCCTGCTCGCTGACGCTCGCCAACCCCCGGAGAATTNTGTTTTATGGCGCGTTTTTAATGCAGTACTGAAGAGTGTGTCAGTTACTAAGGACTGGTCCGAAAATTTGTGTGGGTAAGGGAATAACATTATAATTTAAAGAAGTTTATAATGAATAAAGTTAATATTTAATTATACAATTTTTAAAAAAAAGAGAGAAAGAAAAAACTGTCCGTTTTGCATAGATTTTTAGCCACGGATTTGCCCGAATTGGATTTGCAAATTGTACATTAACAAAGAAGATTTTAGTAAATGTATTAACAATTAACTCAATGATTTTATATAGAACTTTAGTATCCATCATTCATTTTTAGATTTTCACTCCCTTTCAGACCCTTTAACGAGCCATTTCATCAATGTAAATTGATAGAAGAAAAAAAAAAACCTCATTTAGCCAGATAAAATTAATTTAAAGCCATTCTTTGGCAATTTATCACGGTTCATTAGGTCTTTACACAAGCAAGTTACTGACTTTTATTGTTTATAAAACAAATTTTATTAAGAGGTTCATATTATAGCTCTTAAAATATTTTTCTTAAAATGGGCGTTTCCTTCAAAAGTGTTGCATCAAAACGGAACAAACGAAAAACCAAATGGTTAAATATTTTACAATGGGAGGTCTGTACCTTAGAAAGGGTTAAAACCATCTTTTTTGCATATTTATTTATTAATTATATGAAAGTCATTTATTTGAGCTGCGGTCTTTTAAAGTAAAAAAGAAAACCACTCATCCAAGAAGTTATTTAGTTATAAGCGCAACAACAGAAAAGACTTAGGATAATACAATGAGTTGATCTCCAATGGTCACTAAAAAAATGTCCTATCACGAAGCGATTCTCAGTTTATCACATCTTTGTGTCTGATTTCATAGGACACATTTTTAAAAAATTATATTATCGTTTTACACGACATATTGTTGTAAATTTATTCAAGGAAAATGATAGTAGCATTTTATTAGCGAAAAATAAGCTTATAAAATACTACTCTCATTTTCCTTGCAATTAAAATGCAATGGACATTAACTTGCATTAATGTCCATTGCATTTTTTCTACTTTTCACGATATAAATTTATTTGTCTCATTTAAAAAAAAAGCAGCTGTGATAAATATGAGATCATACTTCGTAAGATAACAGCGTAAAATTATTTTTAAAAAACTAAATAAATAAATTTGGATTTTAAAATCCAACTTCAGTTATCAACATCATTTAACACGCGGTGTTAATTGCACAAGAAGTCATTGAAATGAATGCAATTCTTTAAAATACAGTTTTTGCAGTTATGTGGTTAAAAGTCCTGAATTTTATAATAGGTAGTTAAATAAATTGTAACGACACTGATAAGAACACAATGAAATTATAAAAATTTTATGTCAATTTATCGCAATATAATTTTTTAAAAAAACTAATAAATGAAGAAAAGACTGTAATCAGCACTGTTATCTTTTTTTAGATCAAATATTTGGGAAGAATAATTCTAAAATTTAAAGAACATTCAAAACATTCAAATATTTAAGAACCAAAAACATAGCTTAAAAAGTATATTTTGACAACTATTTATTTTAAAAAATGCCAAATATTATATAGTAGCTAAAAAAATATAATAAATGAAAGAATTTTTTTGTATAGTTATATATTAGTATATTATACGTATATACTATTTGAAAAAAGAAAAAAAATATTTATTAAAAAAGTTCTTAAAAAATCTATCATTTAAATGTCAAGCATTATTTAATAATAAAAAACATAGTAAATAACATAACACTTTTTTATAAATAATCCATAAATTACAATCCTAAAATCAATAAACAGAAGAGAAAAAAAAATGTTTTAAAAAATAAAAGGAATTGGCGTGATTCTGAGGATTAAAGCAGTATATAGCAGTATATTCAAGTGTGCTAAAATATTTAAATTTGTTTTTCTTAGTGGGTCATCTTAAATGGCAAACGCCTGTAATGTTTACTTCTTCACTGTTAAAAGTTCCGGATCAAAATACGATAAAAAGTACCGGAGCACCAGTACTTTTTACCGTGGAATCCATCTTTACCAGAACATGTTACGGAACAAAAATTTTTATTAACCGTGATTTTTACAGAAATATTTAATAAGAATGATTCAGTGGTTTTGCGATAAATATTTAACGTAAAATGATACATAATGGTAATTATATTAATAATTAACTGCAAAACCGGATGTAACGTCATAGTAGTTACGATAGTATGAAACGGTAAAAATAGATTTTACGGCCAAAAGGATGATGCACCCAAGGTACCGAGACTTTATACCAGAATTTTGACTAGAATTTTTTTACAGTACGATATTCCAAGTTTCATCTCAAAGTGAATATTTTCCCATTTTTCCAATTATATTGATCGCAATCAAAAGCCATGAGACCAACTATTTTATGAAATCCTATAAACATTTTTTTTAACTTATCTTTTTTTCTAAAAAAGTAAAACTCAACATTTCGAAAACAATGGAATTGTATCGAACAGCATTTATACTATGTCTCTTATTAAAAAAGGTTAGAAATAAAGTTTTAAAAGTTTTTTGATATGTTTAAAAAATTTTATGATACTCTATTTTATAGCTACTGTTTTTTGTTTCACAACTTAATACTAAAAGGCTTTCCAGTTTCTAATTTTGACCTGACTGTAAAAAAAGTGTTTTTTTTTTTATTTAAAAAATAGTAGAAGGTATCCAATGGACATATTATGAAACGATTGTTCTATAACGATATCACGAATAAGAGGTATCTATGACTGCTGAAATTCTCTTTACTTTCTTATTTAACCTGGAAAAAAATATCAAGACTATCCCATTTGCATTAAATAAGAATTTTTCACAATCCCAAGAAACCATTCTTTATTTTTGACCGTTATTTCTCTTTCCTCATTTCGAAACTATTTTACATGCACACTTTCTTCTTCCTCGGGGCAAAGGTTATTTGGGGGCTTCGATTGTTATTTGAAGAAAGACAATGAAGGAACTATTCTAATAATAAGAATCGCCGAAATGTATCGCTGGCTACTTAACGATCAACCGGTCTGCATCTGTGAGAACGAGTTTTTCTTTGTCTAAGCTGCTCCTCAAAATATTCTGATAGGTCAAGGCTTCTTATCAACTCTGTCGAACTCATTTGTATGTTCGGAAAATCTCAAAAATAATGATAAGAAAGTGAAAAATAAGCCACCACATTGGCAATCGAAAAGCACATTTTTAAGTGCCTTTCCATTATAAATATTTTTATTTAAATTCTATTTCATCTCCTGGTGTTGCATTAATAAAGAAATATCCAATATTAAGTAAAATGTATTCCACTGTATCATAGGATTTCCATAGAATTGGGCATTTTTTTAACGATACCAATGATTTTTGAAGCCTAAGTTTATATCAGAGAAAATTTATATGCATATATATTTAAGTTACTTATGGATTTTGATAGTTTGAATAGCCTATAAAAATTAAATTCTGATGAATAATTTTACCCCACAAAGTTTACCTATTTTTCGTTCATTGTATTAGATCAGAATTATATGAAACTAGAAGAAACTAGTAGCCATAATGAGTTTTTTAATGTGGTGTTTTTACATTATACGTAAAAATATTTTCAATGGAGTTCCCTTTTTTTTATCTAAGTGTGAATTATTTTCTGGTGGGTTCACTTATTTTACTCAAAGTCACAAATATGACTGGGAGAGAACGAATGTACCGGAATCTTTCAAAAAGTCACATTACAAAATACAGAAGCGGAGTTTGTTTAGATAAACGAGTTTCATTTGCTAGTTACCAAGGATTGGCGAAAAGTAATAAGATTTTTCTGGATAATTTAATGAATAAGGTTGATATTTAACTATACAATTTTTGAAAAAAAGATGGAAACATGATTTGCCTGTTCTGCACAGATCTTTAGCCATGAACTTGCTCGAATTGGATTTGCACATAGTAAAAATATAAATTAACAAACACGTTTTTACTAAATGTATTAATAATAACATGCAACTAACTCAATGATTTTATATAGAATTTAATTACCTTAGTTGGGTATCCATTGTTTTTTTTATCAAATTTTGAAAAAGTTTGTCTTATTGCTTTTTGGATAGACAAACATCTATATATATATTTCTCTTACACGGCACCAAAAAAAAGCCTCATTACAACTCCCCGAATGGCAACGTT